ATCATAAGTGTCAATCACTATCACTATTTGAATATAGTTAATTCATTCAAATATGAGCCAAAAATTGAAACAAATTTAGGAGTATTTTTTGTTAAAACTCCATGCATGGCAGCCTGTGTGTAGGATGTGATGTATTTCAGTTGGGACAATCTTAATCTATTTTTTTTTTATCAACTCTTTAAATTCTCCATAATGCCCCATATAACAGAGTCATCTGGGGTGACCCCCATAGCCAATAATCCTTGGATTATAGGTCAGTTGCAAAAAGCATAGCTTACATTTGATTATCAGTCAATAAATTACCCATATTCCAATAATTTAAATGATTGGAATTAAAAAGTTTCTATTATTATCGTTGTACCCGTATTTGTTATTGTTCCAATATATACATAATGTAGCCTATAAATTAAGATAAAATTAAATAAATTTTGTGTAAGAGTATTACCACAAAACCTTCATGTTTGCAATGATGATGGCTATTGATATTAGTTGTAGATTGTTTAAAGCAATAGTTGAATTTATCATGGGCAAGGTTGTAATCATTGTGCTATGTTTTTATTGCAAGTGTTCTTGAGAGATATAAAAGAAATTCGTACAGGAGTTGAAACAGACACATTAATGAAGTTTAAAGAACGCTTTCCAGATGAACAGTGTATGTCTCTAGTGTTTTCTGGTAATAATAAAACACTTGATTTGGTAGCTACATCAAAGGATGATGTGTTGCTATGGTCGCAAGGTTTACGAGCAACCAAGAAAAAACTTCTGCAGGTTGATGTACATTCTAAAAGAAGAAAATATCCTTAGCAATGTGTGTATGTTGGTGGCTATTTATTTATTTGTTCGTTTGTTTGTGCCAAATTATAGTAACAAAACTACTTATTTACACTACCGGTATATATAGCTGTGAATGATTATTAGTCCCCGTTCGGACATGGTACGAACACGGGTACCGGTACTTATGAATTGACCTCTGTGTGTCTATCTGTGTGTGCGTCCGGACCTACATGTATATCTTAGACATGCCCAGACCGATTACATTCAAACTTCACACATATATCATATATTATCATATATTCATATATATATCATATATATCATATATTATCATATATTCTGATTCAAAATGGCTGAATGACGACCAAATATCAAGCATTTCTGGCATTTCTGGATGAATTTGTTCAAACTTGGTACATACATTAGACATCATGGGTTCCTGATGCACGTCATTTTATTTTTCAGATCAGGATTTAAAATGGCCGACTGGCTGTCATTTTGATTTAATGAATGCGCTTCTAGAGCCATATCTCTGCCATGCTTTGACTGATTATATTCAAATTTTATATATTCATTATATATCATGACATAGATATACAGTTGTATTGGTTCGACTGTCTGATTCAAAATGGCCAAATGGCGGTCATTTTTGTGCTAAAAAATCATCAAAAACCAAGCATTATTAGCAAGTTTTATAATATTTTTCTTATATTTTTAATTATTCACTTGTGACAGGTGTGAGGTAGTTGAGTTACCATACCAATACTATTGTTAAATTTCTTTAACTCATTGGAACAGCTGTACATTCACATTTTGTAAAAGCTGACAAAGACAATGATGGTACTGTGGATTTTCTGGAAGTCTGTGACTTATTGACAGAAATGAATATCAAAGTGGACAAAGGATGGGTTAAAAGCATATTTCAGGTAAATACATAAAATACCCACAATTTACACATTTTCACTATATTTCATTTAATTTTGAATTTGGTTCTGTTTGGCTGAGCTGAGGCAGTTTACCAATTAATGTATTCTGTATGAATGAATGTGTAGATGGATGTGTCAAATCTTGTTTCACAAATATCTCAAAAACTACTGTGTGAATTTGGATAAAATTTAGTACACATATACTTAATTTTCATAACAATTAACTACTATTAGCATGTTTTTTTTTCTTCTATTTTTTAAAGAAACAACAGTTTGTTTAAATGGGTTAAAACTTAGAGCATGCTTTTGTAGTTGAATGTCCAGCACTACTTTTCAATTATTTTGCATACTAATTAACTACTTTTAACAACAGTTTGTTCAAATGCTTGGTTGTTCCGAAACTATCAAAGAATATGGAAATCTTTTCACATAGGAGCACTTTCCAACATCTCTAGTTGTGTTTTGACTTAAAAAACCTTTGTTCAAGTGAATGGCACAAAGTTGGGGCTTTAATGCTTGCTTATTAAAAATTGTATATACAGATCATTAGCTTTCATTCAAATATTCAAATTCAAATATTTAATAGTGTTGAACTCATTTCAGATTTGTCAATTTGAATTCTAGCATCCATTTTGATTTATGAAAATATATATTTTGTAAAACATTTATAACAACTTCAGTTTTCTGCCCTTCACTGTATTTCATTACAGAGTAATACTATTGTAAATTTGCCAATGTATCGCCATTACTTAAAGCATATCGTAATTTTGTGGTATTACATAGGTTTTATCAAAGTGCAGTGTTGTGACATTGTGTTCATCTAATTGTAGTTTTGTAGTGGCAGTGTGTTCATCTAATTGTAGTTTTGTAGTGGCAGTGTGTTCATCTAAGTGCAGTGTTGCTGTGGTTTTGTAACTTCACACTGTGCAATATGTAAATTGGTATTATTAGTATTTTTGCCAAGACAAAATATACTTTGTTCTGACATTCAAATCCACTTTTATATTGTTTACTATTGTATCAAAAAAATAATTGTTTTTTTCTGCAGTTTGCTATTAAAAATCGACAACCTGGTCACTCTGGTCCAAAACATGAAATGACAGAAGATGACTTTCTCACTTTTTACAATGAATTGACAAAAAGACCTGAAATTGATGAATTACTTAAAAGGTATGTATATAATATTATAACTCTACATTTGTAAATTTAATTCAGAGATAATGATTTGTCATTTTTGAGCAAATTAATTGAGCACACACAGATTCAGGTAGAGAACAAGTCTCTATACTCAGCAAAGCACTGTTTATATCTGAGCATTCTGTTTAAGGTTACAAATGAAAGGTTATGTTTTTATCATTTCTGGATGTGTAATTCAGCAGTCAAAACATGTGTCGCCGATGTTTCTCAAAGTAGAGAAAAAAAAGAACCATCCACTGTTAATTGGCAAACTCTTGTGTGTCGTGTTCTAATATGTGATGTGACCAGTGTTTAACCTCACTTTCTTTGTCTGTCTGGCAAATGAATGCACAGATACACAGCTTTGCCGATGAAACATGCCACTGCAGACAGAAGTACTGAATAATAGTTACATTTAATTCTACACGCTTTTCTGTAAATTTGATTATGAAAATATCCATGTACAGACCACTTGTCTATTGGAAATCAGCTTTGCAAATTAGTACGCAGTTTTGCGACATAATTTGCACTTCTGCTTTGTCAATCTCATGTGAATACTTTGGAAAATGCTTGTAAACAGGATAGAGGTGTGAATCCATTTATTTCTATGATA